CTCCCAAGGAGAGCCCTCTGCACCTTAATCTAGCCTATAAGTAGTTATTCCCACATAATCTTCATAGCCAACTAATACATGGTCATTTATAGTATTTCATAGTCTTTTCTATTAAAAAACGCTACGATATAATTCGTATCCATTTAAAGTAAAAGGCTTAAAAAATACTTACAAAAAAGTTATTCATGGCCTTCTTTATAAAATAGGCTACGAAACCTTTTTCTTTCCTTCTGTATCAAATAAACTACCAAATGATGGCTTTAACAATATTTTGCTACGAACCAGTGACACATTTGGCCATTAATGGTGTCGAAATAGTTGTACTAATACATCTATAGTGCAATAAAACTAAAAATAAGAATTAGTAAAATAAAAGAGAGATTGAAAAATCTGAGATTTGGGCGGTTAAGGATTCATCCTTGCCCGTTACCTGCACTAAAACTAAAAGTTTTCCAAGCATTCAATTTATTATATTAAATGATGAAATCGAAAGTTTGAAACTATAACTTGTGACCTCTCTCGGCGAGCTTGTTTGAGAGGTAAGGAAAGGAATGAAATGGCCAAAGGCAACCAAAGGAAACATTGCTACATGAAGTTTTGAGGTATCTATTTTTGTGTTTCAGATAAGTAAATTTTGAGAGTGCTACTTATACACAAGAGAATGTGCTGGACACACACAATCCTTAATTTCCTTGCTAACATATGCACATGCACTCTATTCACTAATATGTAAAATTGCATGATGACAAATAAGTATGCTTCTATCGACTGTCCCTAAAAAGCATAGACAATACTAGAGTTGCAAACTAGCCGAGCTACTTGCGATAAGCTCGTAGCTCGGCTCGACTTATCAAGCTTGAGCCTCTCGAGTGCTAAGTCAAGCTGAGCTCAAGCTCCCTGATGCTCGGCTCGAACAGTTCGTGAGCTTAACTGGGCTCGATAGGGGGGTATATGCAAGTTACTGTCACTTAGTTCTAAACCCATTTCTTCTATTCCTATGCTTGTTCAGTGATGGGTTTTCTTTAGGATTAGGTTTCTATCCCATAGTGTTGTACTAAGCTCATTTAGGTCTTACCTTTTGTACCCTGTGGATGTTCAGATTGCATACCATGCAAGTCATTCATTATCCACACATGTCATACAGAGCTGGCTAGACTCTTATCTCAACTGTGGAAGTTCTTATGGAAATCTTCTTGCTTGATCATTGGCGCGGTATTTTTGACTTAACCTCCCATTGGAATCGTAAGTACGTCATTTCACCAAGCAGTCAAATAAAAAAGCAAACAAGATTATTATTAAAATACAGTTCTTCCTAAAACTTTATACAGACGATAGTCATTTTGATGTAGTGAAACCCTTTTACTTCCTATCTCAAGACGTAGCAACACCTATGATGCAATGCAAGGAAAAAGATATTTACATCACGATATCTTTTCTCATACTGATCTTATTTTTTTTTTTTAATTTAAATTATTATGGTCTTATTATGGATCTTGGTTTGCGCTCTATGGCATTTCCACTATAAAAAAATCCATCCGATTGTTCATGGAACGACTATCGAGATTCTTTGGACCCTCTTTCCAAGTCAAAATCTTTTTAGTTAGAAAACTCTGTAGATGAGAAAGGAATTCGGCACCTTTTACTGAATGAAAAAAAAGACAAAAGTTTTTTTGATTGGTATTATTTTTTTCCCTTTCTTCCATGATCCTATATTCTTTCTTCTCTTCTTTTTTTCCTCATGGAACAACTCAATACTCTATTGGAATTGGACATTGAAAAAACTATTAGAAAACTCTTAGACAATCAAATTAGAAACTTTTATACCTCTTGTCAAATGGATGAGATCGGTCGGTGGTTTATAGGCAGAACAGGCAGGGTTTCTGAACTGACTTAATGCCCGAGATTGAATTAAAATAGGAAATTGTTCAAGAACTGGGTGCTTCGAACGAGCGGCAGTAGTGAATATTCCTACTAAAGAATATAAGGGGGTAAGAATTGCCTATCTCTTAGGCTTTGAAGGAGTGCTCTCTTAAGCTTAAGTTAAGCCTTCATTCATGATATGAGCCTTTAGTTGTCTCCTCAGATCTGTAGTCCCAATTCAAAGGGGACCTCCCTTGTCTTTCCATATAATAGTGGAATCTCGATCTAAAAACAAGAGTGGAGTCAGCACTCTCGAAATAGCTTTCTATATTCCTTTTTCTCAAGCGGTAATTCAATTTGCAATGAGGCATAAGCTCTTAGTCCTAATCGTGGCACATAGGTCAGTTAGAGCACACTAGCTGGGTTAAGGCACAAAAGTTTTTCGTTGTGCCTGTATCCCTAGCATCTCTCTGTCTTTTACACAATTTCTTGGTCGCCTTCTTCTTCATCTCGCTAGGACGTTTGAAGTCAACGAGTGGAGGTATTTGGAGATCCATAGGTACAATTATGCACGAGCTAGCCACGACCAATCAAAAATAAAGACAAAAGAAAGTACTTGAGACTGGGACCTCTGCACTCAGCGACTACAAAGGACGTCCAGACAAGCTAAATATAGCTCTTTGAATAAGCATAAGTACCCAAAGGGTGATTGAAAACTCTCCTTTATTAGTATTCCAACATAGGCAGATAAAGGAAGACAAAGAGAAGACCTTCAGGAAAGAGAAGCAAGAGGAAAGTACGAAGAAGCAAGAAGGGCTGAGGTAGAAACCATTTATTGGAGTATGCCCCTGTCAAACAAAAAAAGTGGATGGAGAGCCTTCTTTCTTATCCTTTTAGGTCCGACCTCTCTCTTCCACTTTCCACTTCCCTAAGTTCGTGGTCATCAATATCTCTCACCGTCAAAACCTCGAATCTCTTTCAGTCGACAACCACTACTCTGACCTCTCCTACTTGGCGCTTCGGCCTATCCTCTAGTTGCAACCATATTGTAGTCTTGGTGCTACGGTTCTTGGTGCAACTATTGATTTAGACCCCTATTCGGATCAAGGTCATGGCAACCATAAGTTAGACCATTGGGCCCAACAATGAAGTACAAGCAAAGGAAGCATTCCCTTAAAGATGTCAACCGTACACCGAAGCAATGAAGGCAAATGTTATGGCTCTATAGCTTATTTTATTTATTTATGGAGAGTTAACAACTTAAACCAAGTATGGATGGGACATAGTCAGAGAGATCTTATTATGCATTCAACTCCTTCGAACCTCGATGCATCCTTTTCATTAATCTTCTTTGTCTCCTGCCGGACTCCCTTATTCATCGATAAAGAGAATGGAGATAACCCCAACTCCGAGAAGAATTCCCTTCAATTCAATAAGGGATCGATCTGACAGTCAAAGGAGAGAAACTGAGATAGTAGTATGCCTCGAAAGGAAGAAAGTCTGCTCTTTCCTTTCTATTTCACCACGTCCAGGGATTTGAGAATTTCAAGTGCCTGGTGAATCTGTTCTTATGGAGTGGTACCCTTTTGTCTAGTTTACTTTTTTGCCTGCTTTCGTTCATATGGCTTTCGGGCTCATAAGGGGAGTCAGTCTAGCTAACCCCTTATCTTCTATGTTTAGGTAAGAGAGATGAGATGACTGAGACAGAAAGAAAGGTAGTTGGAAAATACATCATTAGATGAAAAAGGATACACTCCTTCAGGGGATGGAGTAAGGGATAACATTCGATTAGGGCAAGCAAGTATGTATGGGATGTTCTTTCTATAGAGTGATAAACGGAGGGATCTTGCTTTCTAAAAGCCATAGTAAGGCTGTGCAGTCAGCAAGTAGATGACACCAGAGAGGGATTTTTCAAAACACGGATAGGGGCTCTACCGCGATATGATATATCTCATTGAGAAAGCGCTATAAAAACCACTATCCCCTTCGTTCAGGAGCAAACAACCACTCAATTTCTTTTTAAATGGAGGAGCGGAAGGGGCAAAGTCAACGACTGAGGCCAGAAGGTATGTGAAAGTAGAAGCCAGGGACAGAGAGAGCGGAGGAGAGGACTGATTTTTTTTCATTTCACGCTGATAGGAATGGGGGGTATCTCCGTATATTCTATTTATCCTTTCTTATCTTATTGATCAATGTTGTGCCATGAGATGTTCGCCAGTAGGATCATTCATGGTGAAGATAAGATCCCAACATTATCTACTCGGTCAAGTCTGATTAAAGCACTCCAACCAACCCAACAAAACAAGCAACGGGTACTACTGGAATGAAATGAAATTTGATGCCGACTATATTCTTTATTCGGGAACAGGCACTGGGACTGGATGGCTTACACCCTACCCTATATTACCGACTATGGGACAATATTCAAAGGTAACCTACACTGTCTGCCCTGTAACCTGATGGAACAAGCTTTCTCACTTGCCTAAGATGCTTACTTGCCTAAGGGATTGCATTGGTCTTTCCATTTGAACTAAAACTGCTTTCAATTGAAAAAGTTCTTCCTTCGTTTTTGTAGGCTTTCAAACTAATATGCCCAGAGAGAAGCCTTGTCAGATCGCGAGAGATCTTAGCTCGATAATCAACTACTCCTTAGGCCCTTAGCCGATTAGACATAATATCCTTGGATAGGTTTGTTACCCTTGACACCTAGCCCTTTAGAAAAAAGCTTCTTCTAGAAGTCTTACAAACCCTTATACGCCATACATTCAATTACCAGGCTTTTATAGCCTATAGCAAGATCCTTCCCAAGAAAGAATTACTAGCGTTAGTACTAGGGAAATTCATCTATTAAGCGTTACACCTACTCCTTATTCCATTGTTAGACCTACCAGGGACAAGGAAAGATATTAGCGTTAGCCACCCTAACGAAAAGCAATCTCAAGATCTTGTAAGGGTAGAAAATGAAATCCCTATGGACTTTATCTCTGTAATCATACTACAAGGCTAGTATGATAAAAGAGGAACTAGGGCTACTGATACAGGCGCATAAGCACCAAGGACTGCTTGACTGATAGGGCAAAGCTAAGTGCTCACCAAGCTATTGACTCACTCAATATAGCCTTGTTTACAATGTTGCAAACATGCTTTGGGGACGTGATGGATCAGTTGAAGTTATGGCAGCGGATAAATATTTTTGGGTGTTCAAATTTTCAAAGAACCGAACCAGGGATTGGGTGTTAGAAGAGGAACCTTGGCACATTGCAAACCAGACTCTGGCTCTGATAAGATGGAAACCCAATATGCAGCTCATAAAGCTTGCAGCTACTAAAATTCCTATCTGGGTGAAGTTTTGGCATGTTCCAATGGAATATATGACCAGAATGGGCTTAAGCTACTTAGCAAGTGCTATTGGAGTTCCTTTATACATGGATAAGGCCATTGCACTGAGAGAGGTAACAGATTGACTTTTGCAAAAGTTTGGTGTTGAGGTTGACTTTCATGATGAATTCCCTGAGTCTGTATTGATTAATAATTGAGATGGAGAAATTCTATCTATAAAAGCCCTTGGAAACCTTTGAAATGCTTTAACTGTAAAGAATTGGGGCATTCAACTGTCAAGTGCCCGAAGAATAACCAAACCCTTGCTCAACCTCTGAAGAAGAAGAAGGAAATCAAGCGGGACTGGGTCCCTAAAAAGACTGATAATGCTAATGACTGGAGAGTTGTGCAGAGACCTTCAGGTATGAAACAGAGAGCTGATATGATAGAAAATGTCAGTAAAATGAAAGGGTCTGCAAAATCTGTAGCAAATAGATTTGAAATGCTTTCTAATGAAGACTTATCTGTAGATGATGTCATTCTTCCCAAAGAATCAAATGCAGTGCTATGCCAAGAAAATATAGATAAGGTGGAACAGATGCATCACCATTCTTATAAAAATGAAGGAAAGCAGCAGAATATTCAGGAGTCTCCTAGCTTTGCTGCTATAGTCAAGGGTAGTGAAAGTGGAGCAAGAGAGGAAGATGACTATCTAAAGCCGATAGTCTGGTAGGTCCTTGTAAGGCAAGTGGAAGGAAGTGACTCGACCTATAGGTTGAGGGAGTCAGGCGGGTCTGGTTTTTCTTCCTAAGAGGTATGATAACTACACCATTCAAGATCAATGCTTGCATCCGGAAATAGATGGGCGAGAGATGGACGAAAGCTCTTGAAAGTTGAACTGATTCTTATCTGGTTGTTCAAAGCCTGCCTACTTTTGATGACATGAGATTCAAGACCCCCTTTAAAGGCAGCTGATCCCGATTTCCTTGATCCTTTAGCTGGCTGGACTGTCGATAGAGTAAGCTGGATGTGCTATTTGATCTTGTAACCCACGAAAGCTCAAGAAAGAGAATGTCCTCTCAAGGTCTCTCGAGCCTCCGACTGGTGCTGACTCCACCGTGGCATACACAAGCCACATCATCATCACAGAGAAGATCATTTTAATATCAATTTTATTATCGTAACGTGCCAAAAAAGTCACCAGTTGTCGGTAACCGTCTGTTGCCACCAGAAACGAAATTATCAGATTTTTTTTCTTTTTTTACATTTGTTTTTTACTTATCATATGAATTAATTTAGCCGACTGATCTAAATCTTCTATTGTCATGAACAGATGAAGCATGATGCTGACGAATCCATCTTTTCCGGTGATCATCCAAGATGGCTATGGCTTTTTCTTGTAATAAAGGTTTTCTATTGCTTGTAATTCATGTGTGTAGTGTCATCAATAATGGTGTAGTATTACTTGCTCTCAGCATGCAATATCTACTGTCAATGTTTTCTTCTTGTAATTTCTATGTTATTGCTAGTTCTTGTAATTCATGTGTGTAGTGACATCAATAATGGTGTAATTCATGAGCCGGGAGTTTTCTTAAACTTTCTGTGTAATATCTACTTTGAAATGTGGTTGTTGTTGCTACAATCTACTGTTATGGTCATCATTGTTGTCTGTTTATAAAAATCATCTCCCCTGTTTCAATGGATTTAGTTGCTTTTACATAAAATCAATTTTATAATATATTTTTTAATCTCGATGGCATGAGGAAAAAGAAAATCATACCAGGAAAAATGGTATAAAAGAAAATTGGAGAACCCATTAGGATATCTGGCTTTTTCTAGGTGATAAAAAAAACTGATATTAAGTCATTATTAATCAAGAAATAGGGTGCCTTATTATTTATTCAAATTAATGTTGTCTAACCATTCTTCAGTCAGCATGTTTTCATAAAGATAAGACAAAGTCGCGTGCTCTGAACGAATTATATTTGTATCTGTACATACCCAGTAGGCCCACTGGTTTCCTGAAACAAATTTTTGATGTGCACACAACAATGTATCCATGAGCAAACATCTTAATATGGAGTGACCAAGAAAAAGGTTATCAGATATGGCCGACTTTACAGTAAACTTTGCTATAGAAACCTTGGGTTATGTGCTTGTACAAGAAACCAAGTTGTAGGGAAGTGCAAAGAAAGAAGTTGAAAGCATCAAAAGTGAATTGGAAAGCAGCAGCCGAAGAAGAAAGAGAAAGCAATGAAGGAGTCTTAACTTGGGTAAAACAAGTGAGGGAAGAAACTTATCACATTGAAAATGTCATTGATGACGTGTTGAGGGAGGACCTTGTGTATTTCTCAACAACTTAAAGGTAGATGGTTATAGTAGTTGAGGCTAAACCACATTTTTTTATTCCTCATAGCATCAAATTATTGATACACAAATTAATGGAGAATCGTAAATCCTTGAAGACTTGTTAATTTAAAAGGAAAAATGTGCCAACCTGTACCGGGTAGCCTCTGGGAAGAAGCTTGTTGTCCTTGTCTTCAAGATTAATTAATTCCCTTTGTTTATCAATTAAAATCCTTTTCCCATACACTTTTAAACACCATAATTCTGCAACTTGCATAAAGAAACCTTGTCTTATCTCTTATGACCATGACCTGCTACCTGCTCAAGGATTAAAATAGTGAGTGTTTGGTATGGAAAATGCTGGACAGTGAGACCCGGATCTTGTATTATTAAGCTCTATATGGTAGATGTCAGATGGTTATCTTATAGTAGCTAAAGCGGATGAAGGAAAAAAAATTAAAACAAAGGAAAGAAAGCAAAAGGCTCCTTCAACTGCCGGCCAGCACTAAAATAAGATATGAGGTATGATTAATCAACTTGCACAAGATAAAAGACAAATTCCAGGTTGTTGAAATAAACAATTGTGAATAATATGTATGTCCACACTTAGGTTCCTATAATTAAAAATATATTTATTTGATTTCATATCAGCCCCTCTAATGGAATTGAAGGTCTAATTGAAATACATACGTTTTATTTTTAAATCATATCTAGATTACCATACACAGACTTGAATAATATCAATCAAATCACAGTGAATACATAGTCCACTCACCATGAAATTTGATGAAATTCTAAGGATGAAATTTAATCGTTTATTTGTATGGGAATTGCATCTACATAAAACATCCTAATAGCACACCTGGTTTTTTTTAGGTAAATAATTAAGGACAGAATTATATATAACAAAGCAACAAATACTGTTTTTAGGAAGTGAGAAACAATAGCTTTTGTTCGTATAATTACCTACGTTTACCAATGTGGGGACTTGAACCCAGGCCTGAGGGGACTCGAACCCGAACCTTGTGGGAACAAACATAGGCCATCATGTTCTCTACATGCATTCGGTAATATGAAATTCCATAGAGCACATTATTAAAATATCAGCCCAATAATATTATCAAACCAGTGAAATTGTAATGTTATTGGCCTAATATATATTTTTAACAATATCAATTATTTTACAACAAATACTATTCATAAAGTAGCTTTGCTGATTTGATATAAGGGACCCATCTCCACCATTGCGTAACAGAGGGTGAAGGGTTTAACCACTACAACTTTTTCAAGTAATATATGCTTAAATGTTAAAACCATACCTAACCTTAGCCAAATTAATTAGTTTATTAAAAAGTCTATTTTACACCAGCTGTTTACGACTAAGTCATACGGAGTCTCTTTATCAACTTCCTAATACTTGAAGAGTTTTTAATTTAAAATGATTAATCCTTGTGAACTTGACAAAAGAAACACAAAATGACCGCCATCTAACCGTTGATTTACAAATCCAGATTGATGATCTCTGTGATTTCAAGTGCTAAAACCCCTATGTTCAATCTTCTTCAATCCAGAAGTATTTTGATATAGTTTGAGCTTGCACACCAACAATGTCACTTAACACCAGCTTAATTAAAATAATTCATTCTTATCCTCGCAGCGGTATATTGCCAATCTGTATCACACTCCATCACTAAAAGGTCAAGAAAATAACAGAGTTCGAAGACACATTTCCTAATCAAATTGAAACAAGTGCCCTTCATGAAACAATCATTTTGGTTTTTCATTTTGAATAACATAATACATTAGAAGATAAAGGTGCATCAGATAGTATCACTTTACGAAATTCAAGGATAGTGACAATTATTCCCCAGCATCACTTTTTTCCAGGGAAGAAAGAAAATTGAGCCCTCTTTTTCCTCAAAGGGAACAACTAGATTCTCTTTATTAACAGACCTTGACAAAAGAGATTAGCGTGTGGAAAATAAAGGATAAAGTAACATTGTATGCAACCCACTGTTTTAGTAACATTGTATGCAAGATCACACTTCTGTCCAACCCACTGTTTTAGTAACATTGTATGCAAGATCATACATCTTAAGAATTAAGATGGAGTGAACAAGAAAAAGGTTATGAGATATGGCAGAGTTTACAGTGAACTTTGCTATAGAAACCTTGGCTTCCTTGCTTGTCCAAGAAACCAAGCTCTTGAAAAGTGTAAAGAAAGAAGTTGCAAGCATCAAAAGAGAATTGGAGTTCATCAGGCCTTTCCTCAGGGATGCAGATACAAGGGCAGCAATCGAAAAAGAAGTAGAAAGCAATGGAGGCGTTGTAGGTATCTGGGTAAAACAAGTAAGGGAACAAGCTTTTCGCATTGAAGACGTCATAAATGAGTACATACTTAATAAGGCGAAGCATGATGAACATGGTGGCAAAGGTCTCACTGGTTTCCTTCGAAAAATGCGTTGCTTCGTGTGTGACCTTAAGGTGCGACATGGAACTTCATCTGAGATTAAAGATATCAGATCATCACTTGCTGATATACGAAGAAGAGCGGATGACTATAAATTTAGAACCATAGATCAAGGAGATGTTATACCGTACGACTCTCGAGTTGGTTCCTTTTTCATCCAAGACGCTGAACTTGTGGGCATCGAATCTACTAGAGACCAGTTGATTGGTTTGTTGGTACGTGGAATATCCAACCGTTCAGTCATTGCAGTTGTGGGCGAAGGAGGACTTGGCAAGACCACTCTTGCCGGGAAAATTTATACGAATGATACAACGAAGAAGCATTTTGATTGCCAGGCTTGGATCACAGTTGGGAAAGAATACTTGAAGAAAGATTTACTAAGGAAAATTTTACGAGAACTTTACCGTTCAACGGGGTTCACTCTACCGGAGGCAGATGGAATGGAAGAGAAGGATTTGATCATGATGTTGAGGGAACACTTAACGGACAAGTGTTACATGATCGTGTTTGATGACGTGTGGAAAATTGAATTTTGGAGAGATGTAGAGCATGCTTTGCTTGATAACCAAAAAAAATAGTAGAGTAATGCTAACGACATGGAATAACGCAGTTGCTGAATTCGTACCGTTGTCAATAGTTCATGTTCACATGCTTGAACCCTTGTCTTCAGAGCAAGGATGGGAACTTTTTTGCAGAAAGGCATTTGGCTCTGACGGTTGTTGTCCTCCAAACTTGACGAAATTATCGGAACGTATTGTTGGAAAATGTGGAGGTCTACCTCTAGCAATTGCTGCGATAGGTGGGCTTCTCTCAAGAAAAAATAAGATTGTTTCTGAATGGGAAAATATACTAGGTAGCTTGGGCTCAAAATTAAGCACTGATTCCCATCTTAGTGATTGCAAGAGAGTTTTGTCCGAAGGTTATTATGATCTTCCTCACCATCTCAAGCCATGTCTCTTATACTTTGGTGTGTTTGCAGAAGGGTGCGAAATTAGATTTGGGAGGTTAATTCGCCTTTGGATAGCTGAAGGCTTTTTCCAATACAACAACCATCTTCCATCTGAGCGTGTTGCGGAAGATTACCTGAAAGAACTTATTGATAGAAGCTTGGTTCAAGTTTCAAAGAGAAAAGCTTCTGGACGAGCTAGAAGTTGCAGAGTTCATGATCTGATGTACGAGATCATTCGCAAAAAGATGAAGGAATGTGATTTTTGTCATTTCTTTGATGAAAAAGACTTGAGTCACTTCAGTAATCCTCGGCGTATTTCAATACACAAATGCACTAACGGTTTTTAGAAGGCATAAAAAATTCAAAGATTCGTTCCATTTGTCTTTTCAATGTAGACAAATTGCCCGAGTCTTTCATGACTACATTTGTCACTGATTTCAAGCTCTTAAAGATACTTGATTTTGAAAATGCCCCTTTGGATTGTCTTCCTGATGGAGTGGGAAAGCTCTTCCATTTGCACTACTTAAGTTTGAAAAATACAAAAGTTAAAGAACTTCCCAAGTCCATAGGCATGCTTGTCAACTTAGAGACTCTTGATTTGAAGTGGACTTTTGTGGTTGAGCTCCCAATTGAGATCAAGAATTTGAAAAAATTGCATTGTCTAATTGTACGACTCTTGGACAACAAAGGTCCTTACTTAAATAAAGCAAAAATACAAGAATGTTTTGGGGCTTTAACAGAGTTGCAGCAGCTACGGTATGTATATGCAGACACTGAAGTACTTGCAGAGCTTAAGAAACTGAGGCAGATGAGAAAGCTGGGCATTAGCGTCGCAAATAGAGATGTGAAGGATTTGTTTGCAATTGTCCACAATATGGAAAAGCTTGAAGGTTTGAGTGTAAAAGCGTTGACAAGTGGAGAAGAGCCTCTTGATATACAATCATTGGCTTCTCCTCCTTTATGTCTTCAACGATTTGATTGGAGAGGGATGTTTATTGAAATTCTACCAGTTTGGATTTCTAAACTTCACAATCTAATCAGATTACAATTGGATTTGATTGGATCTACCAATGATTCCATGACAATCCTTCAAGCTCTGCCTAATTTATTGGTGCTTATACTCTTTGTGCGTGACTCTGATGAACAATTGCATTTCAAAGAAGGTTGGTTTCCGAAGCTCCAACACTTGTATCTCTACGACTTCAAAGGATTGAAATACATGATGATAGAGAATCGTGCAATGCCTAGTCTTACAGAGCTGTATATTGCACCATGCCCATTGTTGAAGGAGATTCCAACTGGAATTGAGCATCTCAATAACCTAAAGTTGCTTTCATTTCGTATGATGTTGAAGGAGGTTTATTGCATGATAAAAAAGGAGAACTGGGAGAATGTCACTAAACACATTCCACAAATACATGTCAGCTATACACCGACAAAAGGAGGTAAATACTATTTTCTCACCAGTAAATATTTGTCATCTCTTTTGGCAGAAGATTTTGAGAAGCTATTGAAGAAATTGAGGCCGAGTAACGAGTAGCCCCATTACCGAATCAACAATCAGTCTCCTAAAACAAGTAAGCCTTTTAAATAGTGTGTTTCTTTTAAATTCACTTCTCTGCTATTACATATTGCAGTTTTTTTTATGAGTAAACAAATAAACTTTCTTTTAAAAATAATTTAATAGTTGGATTAGCATCATTCTAATATGGTAGTACTTGTAATTAATCATTAATTATCTGAAAATTTTTTTATAAATACATTTTATTTTATTATTATAAATAAAAATACTCTTATAATTTATTTTATTTAAAACATTTAAAAAAAAATTACTTAATTAATTGATTAAGTTTTCGCTGCCGGAATCCGATACCGACAGCTGTGGGTCCATTGCTGGAATTTGTTTTGGCGATATTGGGTAACAATATTTGTATCAAAATAATTCACTTTTAATGATCTATCTCTATAATTAGTTCTAGCAATATATTCAACGTTTGGTTGGGATCTAACCAAGAAAGTTCCGGTGGCCGCACTTTCTCGATCAGATTCTAGCCAAACATAGTCATTTTTCCAGTTTACAGTTATATAGGCAGATAGATCGGTTATAGATGATCATTTAATATCAATTTTGTTGCAACACGCCAAAAAAGTCTCTTGTTACTGGAAATCGTCTGCTGCCGTTAGAAACAAAATTATCAGTTTTTTTTTTTTTTTTACTTATCGTATGAATTATTTTGCTGACTGATGTAAATCTTCTATTGTCATGAGCAGAAGAAGAATGTTGCTGATGAATTCATCTTTTCCAGTGATCACCCAGGATGACTATGGCTTTTTCTTGTAATAAAGGTTATGTATTGCTTGTAATTCATGTGTGTAGTGTCATCAATAATGGTGTAGCATTGCTTGTTCTTAGCATGCAATATCTACTGTCAATGTTTTCTTGTAGTTTCCATGTTGTTGGGTGGGGAGTTTTCTTAAACTTTCTGTGTAATATCTACTTTGAAATGTGGTTGTTGTTGCTACTGTTGTGGTCATCGTTGTTGTCTGTCTATAAAAAAACATCTCCCCTGTTTTTCCCTGTTTCAATGGATTTAGTTGGTTTTTCTATGAACCTGCTTTTACATAAAATCAATTTTATAATATATATTTTTTAATCTCGTGGCATGAGGAAAAAGGAAATCACACCTGGAAAAATGGTATAAAAGAAAATTGGAGAACCCATTAGGATATCTGGCTTTTTCTAGATGTCCACAAAACACTGTATCCATGAGCAGACATATTAACCATGGAGTGATCAAGAAAGAGCTTACTAAAAGAAGCTTGGATGTTTGTAGGAGCTAAAACTTGTAGAGTCCATGATCTGATGAGTTCATTTGCAAAAAGAGGGAGGATTTGTCCAATACAGCCACCACCTCCCATCAGAGCATATTGCTGAAGAATACTTGACAGAAATTTTGGTTCAAGTTGCAAAGAGAAAGGCTTCTGGACGGCCTGAAAGTTGTAAAGTCCACGATCTGATGTACAAGTTTCAAAATTTGTATCTTTACAACTTCAAAGGATTGAAATGGATGAAGATTGTTAGTAAAGCAACGATCATAGATAAGGGTACAACTGAAAAATCAGAGAAAAAAATTTGGAGATTTGAGCTTTAACATCTGGTTCAGCAGCAATTTGAAGGAGTTCTGTTCTGGATCCTGGAAAATATTCCAAGTGTTGTTGTCTAAAAAGAGTAAGCAGCTGTTAACGACAAGGATACAAGTTCCGTTACGTTCCGTTACATGGACGTTAGCTCTTCCAACGGTGTCGTTTCTATTGCATACTAAAAAAGGGCAAAACTCGAACAATGCAGATCGAAGCAAGGGTTTTGCCGTCTTCTTCTTCTTCTCTTCTCTGTTCTTGCAGAAATCCGACGGCCTGCAAATCTGAGTTTTGTGTTTGTTGATTGAATGTTGAATGGCTGAGATCTTTTAATATTGCAAATCACATGGATTTCCGAATCAAGAGCTGTTGGTTCAGATCAAAGTTGCTGGATTTTTATTCATTTTTGGGTCAAAGATCAGTAAGTTGTAGTTCCTAAATCAACGGCTGAAACACTTTAATTTTGTGTTACTTTTGAATCAATTGTAGTTATTAATCTGCAGGAGTCACACGTACTGCCAACGTGGACTCATTTCTAGTATAAAACAAATTCGTGAATTGGATTGTATGATGAAGGTTACCAATAAAATTGCAATTCTGGAAATTTCTGTTTCTCTCTTAAAAACCTTGTGTTTGTCCAGAATATGAAAAACTTTGAAGGTTTGTTTGTATCAGCGTTTACAAGTGGAAAAGAGCCTCTTGCTATACAATCCTTGGCTTCTCCTCCTTCATGTCTTCGGCGATTTGGGTTGGTAGGGATGTTTATTGAAATTCTACCAGTTTGGATTTCTAACGTTCAAAACCTAACCAGATTAGAATTGGATTTGGTTCGATCTACCAATGATTCCATGATAATCCTTCAAGCTCTGCCTAATTTATCTTTGCTTATTCTCTCTCTGGATGATTGTGATGAACAATTGCATTTCAAACAAGGTTGGTTTCCAAAACTCCAACAGTTGTGTCTCTACGACTTCAAAGGATTGAAATGCATGATGATAGAGAAAGGTGCAATGCCTACTCTTACAGGGCTGGAGATTGGGCCATGCCCATTGTTGAAGGCGAAAGGTGCAATGCCTAGTCTACGACTTCAAAACTTTTTTTTTTTTTTTAAATTACCTTGATTAATTGATTAAGATTCGGCTGCTAGAATCCGGTATCGACAGTCGCGGGTTTATCGGGGGAATTTGTTTTGGCAATATTAGGTAACAATATTGGTATCAAAATACTCAATTTTAATGATCTATCTATATCTACAATTATGTTTAGCAATATATGCAACATTTGTTCGAGACCTGACGAAGAAAGTTCGGGTGGCCGCACTTTCTTAGTCAGATCTCGGTCAAACGCAATCATTTCTCCTGTTTAACGATCATTTTAATATCAATTTTGTTACTGTGACACGCCTAAAAAGTCTCCAGTTACTAGAAATTACCCGTTGCAGCTGCAACGAAATTATCAGTTTTTTTTTTTTTTTCCTTATCCTATGAATTAATTTAGTTGACGGATGTAAATCTTCTATTGTCATGAATAGATGAAGTATGATGTTGATGAATCTATCTTTTCTAGTGATCATCCAAGATGACTATGGCTTTTTCTTGTAATAAAGGTTTTGTATTGCTTGCAATTCATGTGTGTAGTGTCGTCAATAATGGTGTAGTATTGCTTGTTATTAGCATGCAGTATCTACTGTCAATGTTTTCTTCTTGTAATTTCCATGTTGTAGGGCGGAGAGTTTTCTTAAACTTTCTGTGTAATATCTACTTTGAAATGTGGTTGTTGTTGCTACTGTTATGGTCATCCTTGTTGTCTACCTATAAATAAACATCTACCCTGTTTTACCCTGTTTCAATGGGTTTAGTTTCTTTGTCTATCAATCTGCTTTTTACATAAAATTAATTTTACATATATATATAAAATTAATGTTTTCACTTTTCATACAGATAAGATAAAGTCGGGTGCACTTATCGAATTATATTTGTTAACAAAAGTACTTAAAACAAAAATGCCCAAGAAACCGAGCTGTTGAGAAGTGTAGAGAATTGTGTTCACACTTCTGTCCAACCCACTGTTTTTGTAACATTGTATGCAAGATCATACATCTTAAGAATTAAGATGTAGTGATCAAGAAAAAGGTTATGAGATATGGCAGAGTTTACAGTGAACCTTGCTATAGAAACCTTGGCTTCGTTGCTTGTCAAGAAACCAAGCTGTTGAGAAGTGTAAAGAAAGAAGTTGAAAGCATCAAAAGAGAATTGGAGTTCATCAGATCTTTCCTCAGGGATGCAGATGCAAGGGCAGCAACCGAAGAAGAAGGAGAAAGCAATGGAGGTGTCCTAAGTACTTGGGTAAAACAAGTAAGGGAATAATCTTTTCACATCGAAGATGTCATAGATGAGTACATGCTTAATGAAGCGAAGCATCATGAGCATGATGGCAAAGTTCTCACTGGTTTCCTTCGAAAAATGTGTTGCTTCTTGTGTGACCTTAAGGTGCGTCATGGAACTTCATATGAGATTAAAGATATCAGATCATCACTTGCTGATATACGAAGAAGAGCGGAGGACTATAAATTGAGGACCATAGATCAAGGAGATGTTGTGTTGCACGACTCTCGAGTTGGTTCCTTTTTCATCCAAGACGCTAAACTTGTGGGCATCAAATCTACTAGAGACCAACTGATTGGTTTGTTGGTAAGTGGAACATCCAACCGTTCAGTGGTTGCTGTTGTGGGTGAAGGAGGACGTGGCAAGACCACTCTTGCTAGGAAATTTTTTATGAATGATACAGTGAAGAAGCATTTTGATTGTCAGGCTTGGATCACAGTTGGGAAAGAATACTTGAAGAAAGATTTACTAAGGAAAATTTTACAAGAACTTTACCGTTCAACACGGTCCTCTCTCATGGAGGCAGATGAAATGGAAGAGAAGGATTTGATCACGATGTTGAGGGAATACTTAATGGACCAGTGTTACATGATCGTGTTTGATGACGTGTGGAAAATTGAATTTTGGAGAGATGTAGAGCATGCTTTACTTGATAACCAAAATAGTAGAGTAATGCTAACGACACGGAATAATGCAGTTGCTGAATTCGTACTGTTGTCAATAGTTCATGTTCACATGCTTGAACCCTTGTCTTCAAAGCAGGGATGGGAACTTTTCTGCAGAAACGCATTTGGCTCTGACGGTTGTTGTCCTCCAAACTTGACGAAATTATCGAAACGTATGGTTGGAAAATGTGGAAGTTTACCTCTAGCAATTGCTGCGATCGGTGGGCTTCTCTCAAGGAAAAACAAGATTGTTTCTAAATGGGAAAATATACTAGATAGCTTGCGCTCAAAATTAAGCAGTGATTCCCATCTTAGTGATTGCAACAGAGTTTTGTCTGAAGGTTATTATGATC